ACTGATAGGGACATTGCCAAATACTGGAAAATAGTGACTGATAGGGACATTGCCCAATACTGAAAAAATAGTGGCTGATAGGGACATTGCCCAATACTGAAAAATAGTGACTGATAGGGATATTGCCCAATACTGAAAAATAGTGACTGATAGGGACATTGCCCAATGCAGGAAAATAGTGACTGATAGGGACATTGCCCAATACTTGAATAGGGGCATTGCATAAATAGGGAGCATTGACTGATAGTGGACCATTTTGCAGTGTATTGCCCTCAATGGAAAATGTGGTCATTTTGGCTGAAGAAATGGTTAGGCCATTTTGACTAATTGCCCAGGATTGACATCCATATGGTTAGATTGGTCTTAGGTCTTCTTGTACTCTTGCAACAGTCCCCATATAAAAGTGTTAGGGAGGATAGTGCTAATATGTACCTTCCTCCTGTGCTGAATACCTTTTCTACCTCCAAAAGCAGAAGATGCGGTGGTAAAAATTGTACACCTAAAATAAAAACTCTTTGAGAGACGTATGGTTGACCTTTGAGCTCACAAGTCAGACGCTCTATGGTTATACGACGAAACTCATTAACAAAAAGGAAACAATACAGAATTACAAAGCAAATACTAAACAATTTAGTAAGCAAACACATGGTTTTTAATATTACTAATAATATTTGTGTGTGTTAAATATTACAAAACAAGGTGTGAAACACATTTTTGTGCATACCAGACACATTCTTGCTGAGCATTTTTTCTGTGATGTTTTGAACTCTATTATTGAAGGAAAATGCCTATGTGGCAAATCTTCACTTTTTTGTCCTCCTACACTTTTTCTCTTTTCATTGCAATATTTTATAGAATTTCTCTCACTAATATTCAGTGAAAATAGGCAACAGGAGTGTTTTCCCCCACAACAACCTAATATGATGAATTTGCATTTAAAATAGAGAGATCTAAAACGTGAAAGAAGAAAAAGCTTTTTTTACCATTTTATAGTTTTTCTAATGGCAGGATGTTTGTTTAATTAATTAATACTTCGGGGATCCTTTGCCAAAAGTGCTAAGAGCTGAAATCAAAAATTTAAACTTAAAAAAAAATTAATTAATGTAGGGGTTAAACGCAGGACTTTTCTATTGTAAGGCAGACATGATACCAACTACACTAGAAATTCATATGTAAATGAGAACTGAAAATAGGACCAGTATTGTACACTTTTATAGACACACAGTAGTGTTGTTTAATATACAAGAAACAATCATTATTTTTTCACTATGTCAGTAGGTGACCATATCTTCAATCTTCAGAATTTCCATTTCAATCCAGTCGATGTAGATGGCTGGCTCAGATGGTCAGTCTTGCTCACGGCCAGAAGTACACATGTCCGCCGGTGTGCCATGAAGATAACCCAACTCATAACAACAAGGATAATTCATAGTGATCCTTACTATTAATCCTTGAAAGAATTAATTCTTCATCAACTTTAATTAAATAATTTTCTTGCTATTTTGTATTTAAAAAAAAAAAAAAAAAGAGTAGACTAACGCAAAACCAGAAATATATTTCAAGGCAAAAAATACACAAATTGAAAAGAATAGCCTTACGGGCTGCCCGGGCAAAATTTAAAAGTTACAAAATGTACCCAAAAATGTCCTTGCTGGTGATACGGAGCCCGGGCACTGCGCTGAGCTACTTTGGACTCAGACTTGAGTTAGAAGTAGAACGGAGCACTTGAAGGTGACTACCTGTGTGCCATGATGTTGATTGATCCCTTGTTCAAACCTCAAACCTCAAGTTCTAGATCACGACCATAGTCCAGGAGTGGATGAACAACCAAAATATTCTGCTGGAATTTACAACCGGTGAACACTAAGAAGAATGTAAATCCCTTAGGCATTTCTGTCACTACTGTGTGGTGACTGTTTGAGCTAGGATAACACATGAACTTGCTATGTTGTCCAAGGGTAAGGCTGTAATTCAAACCTTCATGCAGTGAGTTTTGATAACTTCATCTAAATAGTTCTAATCTTATCACATTTTAAATGTTAATTTTTTTATTTTATTTCATATTATTACCTTATCTATTTCTTAAGCATTGAAAGTATCAGATGCTTTAGCCAAGGAATTTTTTAGGCAGTTTAACATTTTTTCCGCAACACACAAGACCTACAAGCCATACTCTCCATCTCGTCTCCACTTGTTTGAAAAAGTCAAAACGTCTCATTAAGAGAAACGTTTTCATTTTGTTGAGCTTTTTAGTCAAATTTTCTGGAAAACATTGTATTACACTGCAGTTATTTAACCATACGAAAAACGAGATTTAGGGGTCTGAAAACACTTGAAACAGAAGTTAAGACCCCGAGTCACGTACGGAGTTTCTCTTACACATCATGTTGGACACCCCTCACGCCTGTGACATAAATCACCGCGCCACCTTGAAGATTTAATTCTCATCAACTTTATGAACACTTTCACATAAATTAGGTATGAAAGCCAAACAGCTCTCTGCCGGTGCCTTCGTGCTGAACAGGGCTTTAGAACAAATCTGCCCAAGACTTTCTTCCTCCTAGCGGAGCTGCGGAGCTGATATATGGCAACACCCTTGAGTAGAAGTGACAACTAGCTTTAGGGAACCTGTGTGCCATGATGAGACCTTGTTTAAAGTCAAACCCAGTTCTATGATCACGACCATAGTCCAGGAGTGGATTATGCCAGAATATTCATGACCAACCGGAGATCGCTGAAGAAGAATGAAATCCCTTAAGCATTTGAGCTAGGATGATTAACAGTTTTTGAGACATGAGTATTCATTTGTTAAAATGCAGTAAAATACAGTGTTTTTCTTATAAAGCCAACAAAACATTTGGTATCTTGTGTTGATCTGTACTATAAATCATACACTCTTTCTGTATTTCATCTGTTTGTTATAAATGAAGTGTTAACACCTAATCATCATCATGTAGCAGGTTATTTGCAAAACGTCGCTCTTATCACAGTCTGCCTGAAAGAAACTCGGTTTCTCGCCTCATGCACTTTCACACTCAAGGAGTCACTTATATCCTGTGCCCATCTTCGTGTCGGTCGGCCCCTGCCCTTCCTTCCTGGTACCATACCTTCTGCTATAATTTTTTCCAATCTGTCGTGGCGCTTGATATGACCAAAATATTTCAGCTTTCGAGAAAGGATGCTGTTTATTAGCCAATCTTCCTTGATGTTCAGATCTTTTAAGATGTCAGTATTTCTCATCTTCTTTGTCCAAGATATTCTGAGAATCTTTTTATAGCATTTCAGCTCAGTAGCCCCTATTCTCTTTCTTAAGGACTGAGAGATAGTCCACGACTCACACAGGGAAGATACATGCTCTCAAAATTCTTATTTTTATATTCTTGCTGGTGCTTAACCATAGGCTTTTAAGGTTGTTCATTCTTTGTATTGCTATGGCCATCCTCCTTTTAATTTCGGTCGAACAGTTTCCATTGTTGTTTATTATAGAGACTAGATATTCAAAGTTTGTGACATTTTTAATTTCTTCATCATTTATTGTTATTTTTGGGTGGCAGTTTTATCTGTGGACACTATTTTCATTTTCTTTAAATTCAATAACATATTTTGATCTTCACTGTGCTTTTGGACAGACAATATTAAATTTTCTATTCCCTTTACGCTGTTCGAAAGGAGGACTGTCATCTGCGTAGCGGAGTTCCAGAATAGGGTTGTCACCAATTTTGAACGGTTCATAACTGTCACAAGTCTAGTAGTTTTTGACATTTCTCATTATATTTTCTGCGTATATGTTGAATAGGTATGGTGAGAGATTGCACCCCTGCCTCACCCCCTTTTGCACCTCGAACCAATCAGATGTTTCACTAGCTGCTGTGATGGCTGCTTGTTGTTCATGATAAAGATTTTCAATTAAATGCACTAACTGCGCTGGAAACCCCATACTTTTCATAATAGTCCACAGTTTGTGGTGTTGGACACAATCAAATGCCTTGCTATAATCAATAAAACAAGCATGAAGATCTACGTTTTATTCTCTGCATTTTTCAAAAATGATTCTTATATTAAAGATGTGATCCCTAGTTCCTCTACCCTGTCTGAAACCTGCTTGTGCTTCATCTAGCTCATACTGTAATTTTCTTTCAATCCTTTTCATGAGAATTCATAAGAGGGTTTTGCTAGCATGACTTATTAATGCGATGGTACGGTAGTTGGAGCACAGTTTTGGATTTCCTTTCTTTGGGAGAGGGACATAGACTGTTTTTTTCCACGCTTTAAGCCAAATGTCACTGTTCCAGATCTTCGAGCACAGTGCATGGTGGATTCGGACACTGGCCTTTCCTCCTGCTTGAATTAGTTCTGCTGGTATTTCGTCGCAACCTGGCGACTTTCCTTTCTTCAGGCTGTGAATTGCTGATCGTACCTCATCCAGTAAAGGCTCTGGTCCTTCATAACTTTCACAAGTCGTTTTTGAATTGCTTGTCTCATCCCATGACTAATACATAGATTAAATTTTCAAGGTGCAATGACTAGTGTTAAATGTTGTTGAATTAAGAATTGAAATCACGCACTCGGGGCACCCCCATAAGAGTTCGGTCCCCATCTTCAGCAGCAAGCAAAGAGTTCAAATTCCGATGGCACCAGTAACTGTCTTATTGTATATCCGTCTTGCCTATCCATTGAGTGCTGAGCACCGGCCAGATCCCCTTGTTACTCCTTGAAGCATCATATGTGCAATGACAAAAGATACAGCAGCGGTGGAGACAAAGATGAAGTAGAAGACGGGATATTAAATATAGGGATTTAGTTAGATCCTTATTCCCCCCAGGCCTAGATATAGGGCAGTGGTGAAGACCAAGATGAGGTAGAGGACAGGAAAATAAGACTCTCTTTCACTATCCCGGGTGAAACTGGACAATTAAATCTAGGATTTTTAATAAAGTTTAAAAATAAAAAACGCTTAACACTGTAAATGTTTTTATCATTTGTAGATATAAATTTTGAAGATGAGTTATGGTGGTGGCGGCGGCTATCCCCAGCAATCAGCTCCAGGTGGATATGGTGGTGGTTATCCACAACCGGGTGGTTATCCACCTGGTGGGGTAAGTAATTTTAAATTTCTTACTTATTTAACATACAATCACTACATAAGCCCTTCCTGAGAAGAAGAAATGTTTTTAGGTGCATGGCAAACAAAAGCAATGTATTTCTTTTGTTCATTTGCAGCCCTATATTTTATGTTTTTGTTATTCATGTCTGTTCACAGCCATCACATACACTGCTATTCATTTGTTTAATAAAGATGTCTATAACTACAGTCGTCCCCATGTGGGATGCAATATTTTGTTATTTGAAGCCCCACCCTGGCTTTTGCCGAAAGCCCTGAATAAAGCCAGGCCATAAATATGGCCTAACGGCTGAAAAGGGTTTCTGGGACCTCCCCACTGGTGATCCTCATCCACATGGTGGCACTTTGTGTCACCTGGTGTTTATTGTTTGTTTGCTGTCCTGGTGGGGTAAATTAGGAGAGAGAGAGAAAGAGAGAAATAAAGACGTCCATTCATGCCATGATGATGAACTGTCTAGCATCATGTGTCTTTTTTTTTTTCTGTCTGTCTTGGTCTCACCCTGTCTCTTCCCCTCCATCTTTCCCATTGTATTCTTTGTATTCTTATGATGTGTTATTTGGAAGCTGCGGAGATGTGGTTTTCTAGAGGAATGATGAGAGTATCCTCGACAGATAAAAAGAGTAATGAAGTTATCTTGAAAGAAACTAACTCACAAAGAGAATTGATTGCTGACATCAGAAGGAGACAATCTACTTTCTTTGGTCATGCCACGAGAAGGAGAAAACTGTTGTACATCATGACAGTTGAAACGCTGGAGGTGAAGAGATGCAGAGGTAGACACAGAGAGGATGCTGGGCAGTTTGACATCATGTCATGGAAGATTGTCTGTGTCAGAATTGATTGAAAGTACATGATATAGAAGGTTGTGGATAGACATGTGTACGAACGCTAACAGCATCGACTTTAAGAAGAAGACATGCTAAAAGTCTGTGGAGATTAGATCCCCATTTCCCCATGTGGGTTCCTGGACTTCATTTTGGAGATCAAAGAATAGACTTACTGCTCCCAACAAGCATGTTGTCGGAGGCGAGTAATTATGGGCATTTCCTTCAGAGTTGAGAGTGCATCTGCCTGAGAGGCAAGGAACCAACAGTCTACTTACCAATAAGCCAGATCTGTAGGACGGTTGTGCACACAAAACTTGAGTTTTGAATCAAGACTCAATCAAGTCCAGTAGTGAATGACCAACCAGAAATTTCTGCCAGATTTGACAGCCGGTGAATGCTAAGACAGAAAAGAAGAAGATTCTCTATTGAAATTGGACTTAATGTTAATTCATAACCATTAGGTTCCCTAGCATAACTGTGGCATATGGTTGAATAGGGTTCCTTTGATTATCTCCTGTTGGAGTTGAGTTGAGTCAAGAATTGACATTACAGCATTCCCATGCATGCTCCGTCCTTATCTTTAGCAACCAGCGCAGAGTTTCAAAACTGATGGTATGGTCACAATCTGGTTAAAAGTCAGTCTTGCCTTTTCTCTGAGTGTAGTCAGCTGACCAGACCCTCTGGTTACATCCAGGTGCCGCATTCTCTCCAGGCCATGATAATCTTCTTTCTCTACTGAAACTGAAGACTTTCGACAGACATGTTCATCAGTGATATATAATAGATTGATTATAAGAAGGAGAAAAGGTGCCTGTCTGCTTTACATTTTGTCTGTTATGTCTTCCTGTTGTGCATATTGTCTGTTATTGTGTTTCTTGTGCATTTAATCTGTTATTGTGTTTCTTGTGCATTTGATCTGTTATTGTGTCTCTTGTGCATTTTATCTGTTATTGTGTTTTTTTGTGCATTTTATCTGTTGCTGTGTTTCTTGTGCATTGTGTCTGTTATTGTGTTTTTTTGTGTGTATTGTGTCTGTTATTGTCTGTGCATTGTGTCTGTTATTGTGTCTCTTGTGCATTTTGTCTGTTATTGTGTTTCTTGTGCATTTTGTCTGTTATTGTGTCTCTTGTGCATTTTGTCTGCTATTGTGTCTCTTGTTCATTTTGTCTGTTATTGTGTCTCTTGTGCATTTTGTCTGTTATTGTGTTTTTTGTGCATTTTATCTGCTGTGTCAGCCTCTTGTGCATTTTGTCTGTTATGTCTGCCCCTTGTGGATTTAGTCTGTTATGTCTGCCTTTTGTGCATTTAATCTGTTATGTCTGCCTCCAGTGCATTTTGTTGGTTATGTCTGCTTTTGTGCATCGTGTTTGTTATGTCTGTTTTTTGTCCTTTATGTTTGTCTCCTTGTTTTTTTATTTTGTCAGTTATGGGTCTTTTTTTTAATTTTTTTGTTTGCTAATTTGTATTTTGTATTGGGATTTTGTGTGGTGTTTGTTTCTTGTACAGTTGGTTGTTTTGCTTGTCTCTGGTACATTTTGTCTGTTACTCCTGCTTCCTTACACTTTGCTTTTTATTGTATCTTTTGCCAGTTATGTCTACCTTGTGAAAATAAAGGTGTTTAAAAAACCATCCTAATTATATTTCAGGCTGGGATGCCCACTCCTGAATCTGCCTCAGCTGCTGCGTATGGGCCAGGAGGAGGAGGTCTGCCCTATGCACCGCAACCCGGCGGTGGTCAAAACATTGGGTTTGGTGTAAGTTTTTTTTTAAAGAAATTCATTCAGTAAAGATAAAGTGTGAACCAGCCTCATTGCACACGGTTATAAACCATAAGTGCTCTGCCACCAGTACGGACAGCTGATAAGAAACTGTCCACCTGTGTTGCCCTTTGCACGAAACTCTGTAGCTACAGCGACGTTCCTCCGTTTACCCCAGAGTGTTAACTCTGGTACCCATTCCCTAAAGGCTGGGTGAACCCTGGAAACCGTCCAGTTTCAAACACTGGCCAGGGGCTGAAATTCCTTCTGTACCATGTTTTTATTAGGGTTTCCTTCTTTTTCACTTGCTCTTTTACCACTTCAGGTGTCAAGTGAGATATAAAGTTCTATTTCTTACTCTCTGGCCACCACGACCGTAGACACATCATGCTATTGTAGAGTTTCTTTGATGTCTATTTTATCTTGTTCTTGGTCTGTCTTATGATCTAGATCCTTCTCCTCTTTTGGTGTATGCCTTGTACGGTATAGCATCACAAGATGTTCTGTTTAAGTGGGCAGACCATTTGATTTGCTGTCTTTGTATGTAATCTAGAATTGGTTCTGTGTTGACTTTTTCTCATTCCTGATTTTATCTCCTCTGGTCACTCCTGCAGCTTTTCTCAGACATCTCATTACCTTGATTACTAATTTTCTGTTCTGGTTTGTTGTAAGTGATCATGCTGCACCAATGGCTGGTTTACTGGTGCCTGTCAAGCTAGATGTAGTCGAGGCTCTTTGAGAGCAAGGGAACAATGCAAAAGCTTGAACAAATCATTATGATGTAAAGAAAATGGTGGGGATCTAGCGAACACTTTTTTAAGAAGGGACATATAATCAAACTATTACTGGTACCATCGGAAGTGGAACTCTTCACTGGCTGCTGAAAATGAGGATGGAGCATTTATGGTAACATCCTGAATGCTGTTGTGTCAGTTCCTATTTCAACTCAGCTTTTTAGTAACTTCTTATACTTTTCCAGCTGTACTATTAACACATTCTAGCCCTTTTGTTACTTTAATTTCTTTAGTCTCATGTATTGTTTGAATTGTTTTAGACTCAGGCCATTATATTTTTAGATATGTAAAGTTGAAGTTACAATTACTGAAAGAGGGGTTTTTGGGGTTAAAAACTGAGCCGAAATGATGTAGTGGAAAGTATTCCAGCGTAACATCTATTAAATTTTATTTAACTCATTCATTGAATTCTGCAATAACTGTGGCTACTTCAGATAATAAGTTTTTGCATTTGCTGGGCTTAAAATATTGTCCTGAGGGATAGAAGGGTTAAATGGACAATTTAGACACAAAAGGTAAATATAATATAATTAGTTACAAATTTGTCTCATTGGATTGCATGCGACTCTGGAGTTAACCTGAATGTAGAACATGATGTTACACATACATGCTTTACAGAAATATCACTGAGTTTTTATAATCAGCAAACAAAAGCACACAATGACCAAAATCATGCTATGACTTTGACAGTGTAAGTGATGTAGATGGAAGCAGCACAGAGAAATATATATTGTACCACCAATAATTTATATACAGCAGATAAATATAACAGTTGGACAGGATGAATTTCAGCCACGACAGGTATAAATACCTATACCAACAGAATATGGACAATCTTTTGAGGTGATCACTACTTCTTCTTCTTAAAATCCATGCCATGTGGCATTGATGGTCATATCTATCTACAACCTTCAGTCTCAGATACTGTCAATCTAATGATTACAGACAAGCAGTGAAGATAGAAGATAGTTTCTTACTATGTTCTGTAAATTAATACTTTTCTGTTCTTTTATTCAACAGCAGCCAGGTTATCCAGCACAGCCGGCATATCCTGCACAAGGAGGTTATCCAGCTCCGGCTGCTGGATACACTCCAGCCCCTGGAGGTTTCGGAGCACCAGCTCCATATGGAGCAGGAGGTGTAGGAGGTCCTACACCTGGCTACGGAGCACCTCCGGCTTCTCAGCCAGGTTATGGAGCACCTCCAGCTTCTCAACCTGGGTATGGGGCTCCGCCAGCTTCTCAACCGGGGTATGGAGCCCCACCAGCTTCGCAGCCGGGGTATGGTGCCCCACCGGCTTCTCAGCCTGGGTATGGTGCCCCACCGGCTTCTCAGCCGGGGTATGGTGCCCCACCGGCTTCTCAGCCGGGGTATGGAGCTCCGCAGGCACAAGCTGGAGGATATGGAGCACCCGCTGCAGGCTATGGAGCACCTGCTGCAGGCTATGGAGCACCTGCTGGGGGCTATGGGGCACCAGCTGGGGGCTATGGAGGAGGTGCCCCAAATCCTGCACAGTTTAAAATCTATGTAAGTTGTATTAATTTTCTACAATGAGAACTTGAATAAAACAAAAAGAACAACACTAACTATAGCATAACAGTCTTCTTCTTCTTCTTCTTCTTCTTCGATCCTTCTTCAGAAAACTTATATCAGTAGGCCGGTAGCCTTGATCAAAGCTATCGTGCAGTCCATGTCTCCCCATGACAGCTTTGTCTTCATTGTGGTTCGGAACAGGCCAGATATAATGTTGGTATGTAATTCTCTAGAAATTGAAGTAAAAAATAAACCACCATTTTCCTGCCTTGAGGTGCATTAGGTATTTGGTTGACACTAAGTGCGTTAAGTGTTCAAGATTATGTTGGCCACCTAAGATTTTGATAAACTTTTCTTGATACCTGTTTTAGACTAGGTGAAACTGTCTACCCGAGTATCCTTTGACGGATGTGGCTTTAATTCTTTTTTTTTTTCCTGATGCACTGATGTTCATGTTGTCTGATTATGCAGCCAGATTCATAAACTGAAGTGAGGTTGGTCTGGAGTTAATTATCCAAGATCTGCACCACAGTGCCATCTTCATAAGGCTGTATTGTTAGCTCTCCATCTCTCCTTTAAGTATACCTGGGTGATTATCATGTAACAAACAAAATAAGGGATATAGTTATTTTAACATTGGCCTCTACAGCTTGCCCTGACACATTTTTTTCTTATAAAAAAATCAATTTTTCCAACTGCTTCTTTTTCCACTTCTTTCACTTCTTTTTGTACCACTGTGGGTATCGAGTTAATTATAAAGTTCCACTTCATGCTTTTATGACCGCCAGTATAGACACATTTTGCTGTTGCAGAGTTTATTTGATGTTATCTTTCAGTCCTGGTGACTGTTTATTTTTTACACCATTGGTATATCTGACATATGGTGGTAGATTCAAATTTTTTAAACCATTCAAGACTTGATGGAAGACATAGTGAGCGCCACACTGACCAGGGATATTTCTTTGTACCAGTTTAAGGCTGGATCAGCTTTGGAGCCAAAGCCACTTGTTAAAAAAAAAATATTCTATCCTGATGTAAATTAGAACCTAAAACTTTCAGGCAGGTAAGCATCTCGCCACCATGCTATCATAAGCCCCATTGACTGCTGATATTTAAAGCTAAATGAGCACAAAATATTACTAAAGAGCCTAACAGAGGGTCAGTCCACTTCTGGACTTCAGGCTTGTTTCAGTGTTTGAGTTTTGCATACACATCCATTTTACAGATCTGGGTTATTTGTATGCAGATTGTTGGTTCTTTGCCTTTTCAGTTAGATATACTCCAACTTTGAAGAAAACTCCTAGTTATTGGACTCTTATCACAAGCTTGTTAGCGAGGCAGTGGGACTATTAACCCCCCCCCCCCCACTACCACAGTGGGGCCCCAGGCATTACTACAGGTTACTCTGGTTACACCCATTTGCCTTATTCTCTCCAGGCCATAATAATCTATCTCTACGATTCCGTTGCTTGTTCCCAAAGAGCTTCACTCTCAGGATTGTATGATAAACCTGTAGGTAACAGCCCAGAGGAAACAAACCTATTGAATGAAGCATATGTGGCGCGGTGATTTCGGTCACAGGCATGAGGGGAAGTTAAGTCTGATGTGATGTGTATAAGGATGTGTATATTCCGTAGCCCACTCGGGCGCCAGTCCTTCACTGTTTTGGTTTTACGGAACCTCACGCAAGACTCCTGTTGGACGTCCCCGTCGTGCGCCACGGATAATGTCTCAAATGAGCATTAACAGAGTTGGCAGGGGATCTCGGAGCTGGCGGCCCCTAGAGGTGTAGTGTCCTTTCTGGCTCTCACCAGCCCGCCCCCAAACACATGGGTGAAAAGTAACAAAACTCAAGGATTGCTTGCTAAATGTACCATCAAATGACAACTCTTGGTTAAAATTCGGGAGCGAATGGAAAACTGTGCTGCTGAGACTCAACCCTGACTGAGAGATTTACCCGCAGCCAAGACGAGTAACATCTCTTGTGGGCGACTTCTCGCAGCAAGATCCTACCTAAGTACATCCTCTGTCAATCCTCAGTGTTGTCGTCACCGCGCTGAGGTACACCATGGCAGCAACTATTCATATGCTGGCTTGAAAACAATGTCCGACAAAGTTACACCCCACGGCACACATGCAAGCTCAGAGTCCGACGATCATAACTCGTACCGATTAGGAAAAGTCTGAATGTCCGTATCCACTGGTCCAACTCGCCCGAGTGTTGGGACCAAACAGGTGAAGCCACGCCTGACGCATTTTGCTTCCCCATTCTGTCGTGCTAAGTGCACAGCTGAAACAACATTAAAGGTGTCTAACGTAAGATGAAAAAGAATGTACCTATTTGTGTGGCCACAAACGTCCTAGACCTGCGGGCTGCTCCCCGCTGATCTCCGGAGAGCGCAGCCTTGTAGCGCGGGAAGCTCAATACACGGTTGTGAGGTTAAGCAGTCATAGGCAGGACGTGACGATTCCTTGGGTAAGCCCAGAACCAGAGCATCATGTGTCGGCTCTGCTTTTATGGAAGCCTCCTTGGATGGCGGGGAATGCCCATGATCTGCCCCTGCCTTCCCTTGAGGGCTGAAAACTCTACATAGAGCTGCCTTAAGGACGACATGCCGGGGTCCACACCTGTTAAAAGTCAAAGAGGACACCACACAAATAAGGCAACATCTCGACCCACACAAAACAATGGCCACAGTCAACCTAGAAATAGGCTTGACGTCTTCCTCCGAAGTCGGAGTACATCTGCCAGAGAGGCGGGGAACGAGTACTGCAAACAAATAAGCCAGTAAAACGGATGTACACGCAAAACTCAGGTCAAGGTAAAAGCCAAAAGTCCATTTTGGACGAACAACCGTGACTTACCCCCGGAATTCACAGCCGGTGAACAAGAAGAAGAAGAAGAAGAATGAAGCATATGCTTGGAGTTGACTGGAAAAAAAAATGCAGTGAGGAACATAACTAAGCCAAGCTACCTCTTATAACGTGGTCTAAAAAAGGGGCTTTTTACACCGGCAGCCTATAAGCCAAATCTGGCCTCCAGAGTCCTAACAAGGCGGCCGGGGATCACATGCCACTTGTTTTGTATTAATGATCTTTCTGTGCCAGGGCTTGACAATGCCGCCCATGATGATGCCCATTTTTGAACATTTTGGCCCTTGAATTAACTTAGTTGAATGGCCCTGGTATAGAATATGCAAAAGTCTATCACTAATGGCAGTACCTCCTATAGAACTACATTTTTATTTTCATGGCTATTTAAATTTATTTTTTTATCATGAAACAGGAGGAGGGAACTCTCAAACCATTCCCCAATTTTAATGCAGAACAGGATGTGCAAGTACTTAGAAGAGCCATGAAAGGGGCAGGTAAGCATGCTGAACTTTTCTCCTTCTCCTCCCCCTTATCCTATTTTTCTTTATCTTTTTCCTCCTCTTCCTCCTCTTCTTTATCCTCCTCTTGTCTTACTTTTTCTCTTCTTCTTTCTCCTTCTCTTTTCTCCTTTCCCTCTTCTTCATCTTTTTTTCCCTCTTCCTCCTCTACTTTTTCTCTTCTATTACTTGTTTTTGTTGTTTGTGAATCCTCTGAAAAAGTTAGGTTATTGGTAATTAGTTAAAAGGGTTTGGTCTGTCAGTGTAATCGATATAGGGATTGTTCTCCTAAACCACCAATTACACAGGGAATTTGTTGCAGAGTTATTCTGCCCTTCTCCAAGCAGCAACATAAAAAAATAACACAGATGGAATAAATAAGGCTGGAACTTCACATCTGTGGCAAAGGACTATTTTAAGATGTAGCTAGGTCATGTTTCTGAAGTGGTAAAGAAAAAGTAGTATTGGTTCTGTGCTTGGACCTCATTCCTAATTTTATGTCCTCTGGTTACTTTTGCAGCCTGTCTCTGATATAGTATACTTCTATCTGCAAAAATATAAATATTGTAATTTCTTTCATTATCATAGATATTAACATACTTCCCAGGAATCCTGCACTAATTATGGTATTCACAGAGGACCCGACTTCATTGCTGAACATAATTTGTTTCCAAAAATATAACAGCTGAATTGATTGTATCATAAAGATGTACAACCATGATATTACTGGTTTCTGTTTGTTTAAGGCACCGATGAGAAGGCAGTAATTGACATTCTTGGTCGTCGCACATGTGACCAGAGACAGCAAATCAAGCTCATGTACAAGACTTGCTTCGGTCGAGTATGTAGGTTTTTTACTAATGTAGAAAGTCTTACCAAGGTTTTACTGGGGCCCACAAGGGAAGCAAAGAATAGTAAAGCTGTAACCTTCTATCCATGAGCTAGAGGGCTGACCTAAGACTGCCCCCCTCATCTCACTGATAACTTTAACGAAAATGCAACTCGTCATTAAAACAATCTGCAAGATCCTAAACTGAGTTGGTAGGGGGCCTAATTGTTATTGGGAGATGAAAGGCAGAAGGAAAAAAAAAATCAGATTAAGAACAAACAGGTTTAAGCATGACTTGGGGTGGTTCTGTATCAAATATTTTATTGTTAGAATCATATATTCTGAATGCAGTATGAGAAGTAAGACATTTGCGAGAACCAAGTGATGACAATCTGCAACCATGACCAGAATTGTGGAAATGTTTTTGAGACAGGGTCAACTCAGAGCTATACTAGTTGGAAAAAAAATATGGCGTCTGCTGGGTTGTGAACCTGGACTGTGTCTTGGTAGGCAAGATTATCAGTAATAAAAAAAAATTTAATATACACAGGGACAGAAGGGGTTAAAATTATATCTAGGACACAGCTGGTTGGTCTGGTGCATACAGAAATAATCTTCTTCTTCTTCGCGTTCACCAGCTGTAAACTCTGGCGGAAGGTTCTGGTTGCTTGTCCACTACTGAACTGCAGTCCTGCTCCAGAACCTGAGTGTTATCAGTTTTACAGATCTCATTCTCTTGAACAGACTGTTGGTTCCTTGCCTCTCCGCAGACGCACTCCGTCTTCAAAGGAAGCTCCCCATACATGCTTTTGGGGAGGCAGTGGGTCTATTCTTGTTTTCCCCACAATGGGGCCCCGGAACCCACACAGGGGACAGAAATAATAAAACCAAGCTATTTGATTTTAATAGCTCAACTTTTGCATAGAGAAATAATAAACTCATTCAAGGTATGATGAACGATATCAGTCTGACATTTCTTGGTATAGCTGGCCACAATTTGTTTCTAAACCTGGCAGGATCTAGTGAATGATCTAATGAGAGACTTCTAAAACTAGGATACATTCGGCTAATCATGCGAAGAATAAGCTCGAGTTATTCGATTTTAGTAACGCCAATTTTAAAATAAAAAGATGAGGAATTGGGTAAAGAAATGGTACACAATATATCACATAAGGTTGATACCGGTGACCAAATTTTGTTTCTAAACTTGGCAGGAAGCTTGATATAGTTGACCAAAAATTTTGTTTCTCAATTTTGCAGGATCTGATTAATGATCTAAAGAGTGACTTAGGAGGTAACTTTGAAGATGCTTGTGTTGCTTTGCTGATGAAAGCAGATGAGTATGATGCCTATGAACTGCGTCGTGCCATGAGGGTAAGGTCTCTTTATTGTAGTTTATATATTTCTTTGAAAATATATTTTATTGTGTCACATTTATGGAAATGTTAGATAAGATTACAAATACTGAGATATGGAAAGAGTAGGCACTGCAACCGTTTTTTTGAGGGGGTCCAGTGTTCAGTCTTTGAAGGCTCAGATGGTTGGGGCACACTTGTAAGATGGAGGATGATGAAGTCCCTAAGGGCATCCTCTGTGATGAATTACAAATAGGTAGAAAATATCAAAGTTGGCCTCTGCTATGATATAAAGATGTGGGTATGTACGACTTGAATGACACAGGTATTGAGATGGACTCATGGGAATATTATATCATGGACGATACTGCAGTCATACTGAGTCTTGCTAGTCACATTCGCCATCAACATAGGCTATTATTCTTTTTCTTTTTTTTTCTTCACGTTCACCAGCTGTACACGGAAAGTTCTGGTTGTTCGTCCACTACTGAACTGCAGTCCTGCTCCAGAACCTTAGTGTTGCGTGTGCATCAGTTTTACAGATCTCATTCTCTTGAATACAGACTGTTGGTTCCTTGCCTCTCCGGCAGATGCACTCCGACTTCAAAGGAAGCTCCCCAATTAGTCGACTCTTACGACATGCTTTTGGGGGGGCATTGGGTCTATTCTTGTTTTCCCCTACAATGGGGCCCTGGAACCCACATGGGGGTTGGGCTGTTATGTTATGGGCACACTATAATGCACACCCTCCCCGCCCACCTCGTGACTTGGATGAATTAATGTGTTTCTATTATGGTGCTTAGAGAACACAGATCCTCCATCAATCATGTAGGCAAAGATCAAATAGTTTATTCTAAGGATTCTGACTGTGGCTGCCCTGGTAAAAACAGGCGGTTGCATTTGACTGTTGTTGAATTTGTACTTCAGTTATAAAGGATTCATTTATTTGCTTCATTTATGTAATTGTTACTGTAGTATGCACCTGTCGAGACAGAGCAAAATATGCTAGGCAATAAATTGTGCAATCTATTGTTTGTGTCTTCTTTACTCAAAATAGTTCATTGTGATTGATAAAGATTATGTCATCTGAGTTCTTCATCACATATTGGACAGGTGTCTTTTTGATTTGCTGAGTCAATAGAATTAGGAAGGGTGATCTAATGTATGTAAACAAAATGATCATGTGGTTAATCTTAATCTTCTGTTGTGAAATGTATAAGAAATTTGGACTAGGTTTGTGTGTGCTTATATACGTTGTAGAGGCACTTGATGAGGTAAAGTGGTGTATGTTAGGAAGTAAATTATGCCATCTATTGAGTCTTTATTATTTAAACTTATAATGGGAAAACATGGTTTTAACAATGTCTGTGTTAAAAAATAGTATTTGTTGTCAGCAATGCGATAACAGTGTGTTTTAATAAACTAAATTTATTGTAAACTGACAATGTTTCTATTTATCCTGACATAGGGAGCAGGAACAGATGAATCAGCTTTAATAGAAATATTATGCACAAGGACAAATGCACAAATTCATGCCATCAATGCTGCATACAAACTGAGTAAGTAACTAGAGTCTTCTTGTGCTGTGTGTAATTAGTCTTTTTATTTTTTTTTTTAAATGTTTATTTTGTAACTAGTATCTTTGTTGTTTTTAGTTTTTTATCTTCTTCAGCAGCGAGAGCCTTTGAGGTTCATTGTCATTGCTATAAATAACACCTGCCTCCATTCACCTCTGTGACTAGCCTTCTCATTGTAGTTGGTGACTCCAAGTTTTTATAGGTCTGCTTGTTTGTTATCTGTTCACTGACTTTTCGATCTGTCTTGTGATCTACTCCCATTAAACTCTTTTGTGTGTGTGGTCACTTTATTATCTGCTGTTCTCTCTATTTAGTAGTCAGGTGCCATATCCATAGTAAAGGTTGGCTGCAATGGATCTCCAACATGATCTATCTCTTGTCCTGGTTGTACATTCTCTCAGACTGCTGCCCATCTGTCTCTTGATGTTGTCCTTCAACTTATATCATTGCCTACCTCTTGTTCTCATACCTTCAATCTTTCCCTCCAGAATGGTTTTTAAAAGTGTGTTTTGTCTTTTAATGTGGCCAAAGTATTTCAATTCTCTTTCTTATTTCTTTCAGTAATTCTCTTTTCATTTGTAACCTTTCCAGAACCTCTCTATTGGGCTGTTTTTGTTTCCGTGAAATATGACCTATTCTTCTGTATACCCACATCTCCAGAGAGTCAATTCCATTTTCTAATTGCTTGTTCAGTGTCCATGTTTTCTGCACCATACAGCAGGACTGAGTATACATAAGATTTGACAATTCTCATTGTTGTTTTTTATCTCTTTAGCTGTCAGTAATTTGCACATCTTATTGAAGATTCCTATTCTCTTTTTGATTTCTGTTTCGGCTTCTTCCATCATCTGTTACTGAGTGTTCTAGATAGGAAAATCTTGGTACTTGTTCTAACAGCTCTCCGTTTACTGTGATGTTCACTGTTGGCTGCACTTTTGCATTGTTAATTACCATAGTTTTTGTTTTGTGAATGTTCTTTATGTATGCCCCAACCATTTCAGTCTGTTAGCCTTCGACAGAGTGGTCAAGCCATTTGCTCTTCACTCTGAAGGTCATGGGTTCATTTCATGGCTGCATTGCTTATTTAACAAGTGCAGTTTTTATGGGGGGGGGGGGGGGGGGGGGGGGGGGGATGTAACTGTAGCTATTGAGTTTGGGCTTTATATGATGCTGTCATCAGGCAGCTAGCCATTCTGATAAGAGAGACCGAGCCATTTGGGTTAAACCCCAGTGAAATTGATCTTTCTGACTTTCTCCATCTCCACTGTTTGCATCTTTGATTGGTCCACTGTATTCAAAGGTTTGTAATAAGGCTTTGTCTCGATCAGTCATTCTCCAGGTTTCAGAGCCTTATAGGACATTTGATTTTATCAGTGTTTTTCATTTTAATGTCATATTTGATAAATTGTGTGTGTATGTGTGGTTCCCTCCACACACATGTTTAAAAAAAATAGATTTTTATTTAGAAGTTTCATAATTTATTATGTGTATTATTATTACATTATTAGTTTTAATGAACTGTGAGTAAAATGCAGTTTTGTTTGTTAGTGTTTTTTTTAAATTTTATTTTTAATATAATACAGTCTGTTCTGATATTTGCATTAATTAACACATTATTTTCAGTTTATGGGCGTAAATTGGAGGATGACATCATCAATGAAACTTCTGGACACTTCAGGAAGCTCCTGGTCTCAATGTCTGTGGTTAGTATCATGCTTATGTGCTCTCCTTTTGCCGATATTTATGCTGTGCTGTCCGTTACACATCCCCGGGCAACCCATTTTTAGGCTTTACATCTTTGGACTGTCCCTGACAAGCCTACTTAATGGCATTGGTTCAGTGTTTACCTGCACAGCATGTAGAAAGCCTGTATATGATTATATTTACTAAAAAATTAACCTTTAGTGGTCATGTAGTGATGGAGTCTCGGTATTTTTAACAATATAAATATTTTTAGAGCCCCTTTTTTTCTCAAACCGCCCTTTTAGAGAAATAAAAAAGATATGTGATCAAATTTCTCCTGATGTTTTTTGTTTTTAATAAATATTACCACTGATCATATCATATTAATTTCTGCCAGCACAGTCAGTAGTTTTCTTCTCTGCTGTCATTTGTCTTTATTACATCAAATCTTTGCATGCATTTTACTGGGGTTCATTAGGGTAACAATTGATATAGGAACATTGTAATCTAGAATGCATTTATTAAGAGTTAACTAAAAAAAAGGACTGGTACCAAGCTGGGTATTACAGCATTATGTCAGCTGTGGGGAAATTACGTACTACAAACTGAATTAATTTAAAAAAAATGATTATTTGCAAATTAACAAATGTAAGTCTAACTGTAACTGACTCTTGAAGAGAACTGATTGCCCACATCAGAAAGAGACAATCTACAGTCTTTGATCATGCGATGAGAAGGAGAAAACTGGAGTACTTTGTGACAGTAGGAAAGTTGGAGGGGAGGAGAGGCAGGGAGAGACCAAGAGAAAAGATGCTAGACAGTTTAACATGGCATAGAGGATCATATGTGTCAGAGTTGACTGAAAGAACACGAGACAGAAGGTTGTGGATGGGGCATGATTACCACTGCCACATGGTATGGACTTTGAAAAGAAGATGTCCAAATCAGTAGTTTTAGTGATGTATCCATGTGCTCAATGCCTAGCTGAGATTTTTGTCTGCGGACAAATGTTGCAGCTAATTTTGTTATGTCAAGTTTTGAACTAGTTTCTTTTAAATTCTATGTTAGGGTGGCAGACAAGAAAATCAGCCTGTTGACCTAAACAAAGCAAAAATAGATGCCCAGGTTTGTAAATTTGTTATACATATATTGTTGTATGTGTTTAGATGGGCTTACCGGTATGTATGGATTGGTGGACATGCAGTATATGTGTTTGTGTGTGTGGTTCCCCCCCTCACCCCCCCCCCCCCCCCCATTATAGTGTATATTTGAATGAGTATGTATGAATAAGTGGACATACAGTATATATGTGTTTTTATGTGGTACCTCCCTCATGATATGTTTGAATGGTTTTACTGGTATACGTGGGTGGGTGGAGGTGCAGTTTCTGTGTATTTGGGCCTCCTTCCCCCTCCACCCACCTCCTTTTTCCTCCAGATCAAATTGTTGACAAGTCCAAGATATTAAACTGTTGTCAAGTCAAAGATATTAAACAGTTGTCAAGTCAAAGATATTAAACAGTTGTCAAGTCAAAGATATTAAACGGTTGTCATTCTGAAGAATTGATCTGTATATATAAGTAGAGAAAAAACAATGGAGATTAGAGAACATAATAGTGCAGCATAAAAATCGAACAGGCAGTGGCCACACTAAGATTCAAATCTGCCTCCAAATGACAGTGCCTTGCTGAAAGTAAAGTGTTTTTGACTCTGGCAGTGTTGCCATTAAAGTTTCAGTTTGTATACTGTCTCATATGATATTTGTTATAATCTTTGTTTCTTTTTAGCTGACTCATATCAGCTTAATTTTTGTGCCACAGCATGTAGGCGGGCAAAGGAAATGAGAACCCTGATAGGCTTGCAGGTAAAGATGCTGTAGAAAGTGGGTGGCCATAGACCAAGCTGATATTCTGAATGCTTTGTGAGAAGTAAGACGTTTGTGAGCACCAAGTGATGACTGTGAATCTGCAACCATTATCAGACTGCAAGAACAACATGTTAAAAGGGGTCTAGCCAGACAAGACATAGTTAGAAGATTTAGACAGACATAATAATACAGTATGTGAAAAGTAAAATAAACTATTCCAACTTTATTACATGCCTAAACAGGATTTCTCTAGTAAGATTATTACTATCTTTTTTAAAAAATAAAAAATAAAATGCAGTTATCTGATGGCACGTTTTTATTAGTTGGCAAGAAAGCCCATAGAAAACTATAAATGACCCAGATGGAAAAGAACTATCAATTGATTGGTTGCACCCTAAGGTATTCTTATGTCCTATTTGAACAAAATTAACACATTAAATTATTAAGATTTTAATTGTCAAAATTATATTCATTGTGTGAGATGTGGTTTTACAGAAGAATGCTTAGAATACCTTGGACAGCCAAAAAGAGCAACCAAGAGGTTTTGAAAGAGGCGGGAGCCCAAAGACAACTTATCACAGACATCAGAAGGAGACAGTCATCATTTTTTGGCCATGTTATGAGAAGAGGGAAAATAGAACATGTTGTGACCACTGGAAAGATATGTGGAAGGAGAGATAGAGGAAGACAACGAGAGAAGATGCTTGACAGTCTTGTTGCATGGCATGGAGGTGTGTCGGCACACGAACTGATACATGCTGCAGGAGATCGCAGATTATGGAGAGGCATGATCGCCCACGCCAGACGGCAAGGCATCTGATGATGATGATGACTAACAGATCTGTCAAATTATTTGCACTGTAATACTTTATTAACTCTAAACTGAGCATAGTTTAATGTAACATTTGATCAACTTTGTTTTATAGAGATTGTATGAAGCTGGTGAAAGAAGATGGGGAACTGATGAGAACACCTTCAACATGGTTTTGGCCTCCCAGAGCTACGAACAATGTAGGGCAGTATTTGCTGAGTACGGCCAGATTGCCAAGCACGACATAGAACAAGGAATTGCTAAAGAGCTGTCAGGAGATGTCAGCAAAGGAATGATCACAATTGGTGGGCAGGTTTTAAAAATATGTTATAATTTCTGTTGGGTTGTATTCTTCATTCCTTTTTTCTCATGCCTTTGATTTTTTTGTAGTAATTTTTGCACTGCTGTTCTTTCTTCTGCAGCCAGCTAGTTTTAAGGAAAGACAGAATACGTAATCATGAAATCAGACGAATGCTAGGAATAAAGCCAGTCTTACAGGTCATCAAAGAACAACAAATGAAGTGGTTTGGACACCTAACAAGAATGCCCTGGTACTATCTGTCACAGCGAGCCACACTAAAACGTTACAACGAGTATAGAGCGAGTGGGAGACCTTGGAAAAGATGGAGTGATGGCAATAAGAACAGCCTTACAGAAATGAACATCAGTCTTAAGGGTGCTCTTTACAGAGCTCATCAACGAACATTACATCTCCCCCCAACTTTTCGATGAGGTACAAGGTAGAAGAGAAGAAGAAGGAGAAGAAAAATATGTTATTGTGATCACTGCACATTTGACATATCCTCGCATATTTAGTCTTCCGATGCAGCTGCCATTTCCAAGGTACCTCTACTGACTGTTCCTATGAGAAGTTGGTTATAATGTCTCCTATATTGACCTCGAAGACAGCAGGACATGCTTGACTCAAGTTCTTGCAGTCTTGATAATGTCAGAGATTCATTACTATCTGACAGTCTAGTTTGTATAGCGTTGGTCATATCTGCTGTGTCCAGGCATCATCCCACATGCAGTGATGCTATACTTGCCAACTGGTGCACTCAATAATTTCCTTTTATACCATCATTCCGATGTCTGTGTATCCAGGTAAGGAAGGTTAAGTGTGACTTTTGAATCTACCCATCCAGAAATAGGTTACATGTGATTTTCGGAAGCATGTTCTTGGAGTCTTGTATGATCACCGTGTGTGTGGCTACCTGTTCTGATTGGTACTAGAAGAATAAAACTTCCCTTGCCTGCATCTTCACTGGGCTGTGTACTCATATTAGTTTTCACCTGCACATGTTTCAAATGTTGCCTATCCATATGTTTCAAATGTTGTCTATCCACATGTTTCAAATATTGTCTACTGACATGTTTCAAATGTTGTCTATCCACATGTTTCAAATGTTGTCTATCCATGTTTCAAATGTTGTCTATCCACATGTAATGTTACTTTCCTGCAATGTTCTCTCTATAGTGACAAAATCTACCAATACAGAAATAACAATAAATGAAGAAATTGAAAATATCACAGACTTTGAATATCTAGGCTCAATAATAAACAACAATGGAGACTGACAGAAGTAAAAAGGAGAATGGCCACAGCAATACAAAGATTAAACAACATTAAAATTAGATGGTTAAGCACCAGCAAGGAAATCAGTTAATATTTTGAGAGCATGCATCTTCCCTGTAGGAGAATTTGAGTGTGCTGTGGACTACAAGTATCTTCCAGTCCTTAAGGAAGAAAAGAGGGGCTTTTGAGTTGAAATATTATAGACAGATTCTCACAATACCATGGGCAAAGAAGAGAAGAAATACTGACATTCTAAAAGATTTGAACATCAGGGAATTTTGACTAATAAACAGTATATATTGTCTTGAAAGCTGACATATTTTGGCCATATTAAGCGTTAAGGTGGACTGGAAAAAAAAAGTCGGGTACCAAAAAAGAGGGGCAGGCTCTGACCACCACGAAGACTGGCACAGGCTAAAAGTGACTTCTTGTATGTGAAAGTGCACGAGACAGGAGAGCTGGCAAGAGACCAAGTTTCTTTCAGACAGACTGTGATGAGAGGGACATTCTGCAAAGGACCTGCTACATGATGAGATTTGGTCAGCTTCCCACGCAATGCAATCACAGATGACAAACCCTACAGTTTGCTCATTCATGTTCAGTGTTAATACTATTATTAAAAGTGTGTGTTTGTTTGTTTGTTTGTTCATATATAATTTAGTCATTACAATTATTTTTTTTAACCAACTTTCAGTGCGAATGATTAGAAGCAAGCAGTCCTACTTTGCAGACAGACTTTACAACTCCATGAAGGTAGAAATACTCATTTATTTATAATTATTTTCTGTTTGTATTCCTCAAATGAATCTAGTGGACATTTTTCTTTACGTTGCTGAATGCTAAATTGCCAGGAAGGCTAAGCAGAGCAAGAGATGCCTGAAGAAGTTAGATGTGTCGGCTGAAAGTATTTATATTTTTTGATGAATGCAAAGAAGCAGAATAATAATAATAAAAAGAAGAAGAAGAAGAAGAAATTACCTAAAAAAAATTATAAATAGCCAATAAATGTTGGTGTTTATTTGCAATGTCCAGAAAAGAATATGAAATTAACTTTTTATAGTGGAAAGTTGAAGTTTGATAATTTGTATGATATTTACATAAATGCAGTAGTATTGTAACTGATTTGCTTGAACTATTTTTAAGAACTTACCTAAATGTAAACAAGCATTACAATATAAATTATGAATATCATGAAAAGATATCAAGCAGATAAAAAAAATCAAACCGGTCAGCTTCACAATATCACAAACAAGTTAACATTGCAGCTAGAGACCATTATCAGCACATTACATGAATTATATATACATTGGGTGAGAGGCCATATAGCTTTCACATGCGATGCCTAATAAGAATATTTGGCGCTGTCACAAAGACTGAGGTTTGGAAAGAGCAGATACTAAAACAGTCTTCTCAATGCTCAGTCCATGAAGTCTCAGGTGGCTGGGTCACATGTGGGGAATGGAGAATGGTAGAGTCCTTAAGGACATCCTCTATGGTAAATTAAAGATGTGTAGAAGATGTGGAGGTCGACCTCTACTGTTATATAAAGATGTGTGCAAGTAGGACGGGAGTGAAACAGGTATTGAGGTTGACTCATGGGAACAAAATGGATCATGTTGTGTGGAAGAGGCTCATCGGGAAGGAGTTCAAATGGAAGAAATGATTGCAGTAAGAATGAGAGCTGAGCATCTGAGAAGAAACAGAGTAAACACAAATGTTGACAACAGCGATACTGAAATCCCATGCTGTAATTGTGGAAGACTATTCTTAATGCGGGTAGGTCTTACCAGTCCCACTCACCATCACCATGAGCTGTGAGTCCCATGCCTCCTTATAGCGCAGTATAACACTATCGCCTGGAAAGATGGAAAGATGCCAGTCAATCAGTCAGTTTGGGTAATCCTGATTTTTTTATTGTGAACTGTTATTTTCTTTCAGGGCTTGGGTACAGATGACAGGACACTAATCCGCATAATTGTAACCCGATGTGAGGTGGACATGAAACAGATCAAAGCGGAGTTTCAGAGGTTATTCGGAAAGACACTGGAAGCCTTTGTCAGGGTACTTTTATTTTTGCGATTTTCTTTTTAATTAAATATGTCATCAAAAGCCTTCATTTAATGTACCAATCCTATTTCCCAGTCATCATCATCATTATTATCGTCTTCCTATTTTGCTGTTATCAGAGTGATTATGGACTTGTCCAGTGTGCAGTTTGGTTATTCTTTTAATAAACTCCATTAGAAGAACAAAACAAAACATTAATTATAAATATCAACATCTCATGAAAGGTAGAAGAAGAAGTTGTGTATCTCTCAGTCTGACTTGATATGTCTGTACTTAATTCTTTCTTGTGAGGTTTATTGCTATAAAGTTTGAATGCTGGCTTCTCCTGGAGACTCCTGTTGAAATCCTCAGTGAGGTTCATGACAACTTCAGTTGTCATGCGGCCCTAAATCCTCAGTGAGGTTCATGACAACTTCAGTAGTCATGCAGCCCTAAATCCTCAGTGAGGTTCATGACAACTTCGGTAGTCATGCGGCCCTAAATCCTCAGTGAGGTTCATGACAACTTTGTTAGCCATGTGGCCCTAGATCCTCAGTGAGGTTCATGACAACTTTGGTAGCCATGTGGCCTTTAATCCTCAGTGAGGTTCATGACAACTTTGGTAGTCATGAGGCCCTAAATCCTCAGTGAGGTTCATGACAACTTTGGTAGCCATGCGGCCCTAAATTCTCAATGAGGTTCATGACAACATCGGTAGCCATGTGGCCCTAAATCCTCAGTGAGGTTCATGACAACTTTGTTAGCCATGCGGCCCTAAATCCTCAGTGAGGTTCATGACAACTTTGGTAGTCATGAGGCCCTAAATCCTCAGTGAGGTTCATGACAACTTTGGTAGCCATGCGGCCCTAAATTCTCAGTGAGGTTCATGACAACATCAGTAGTCATGCGGCCCTAAATCCTCTGTGAGGTTCATGACAACTTTGGTAGCCATGCGGCCCTAAATCCTCAGTGAGGTTCATGACAACTTTGGTAGTCATGAGGCCCTAAATTCTTAGTGAGGTTCATGACAACTTTGGTAGCCATGAGGCCCTAAATTCTCAGTGAGGTTCATAACAACTTTGGTAGCCATGTGGCCCTAAATCCTCAGCCTGTAGACACACCCTGCCCTACACTTAAAAAGTGGTCAATACAAGGAGTAAAACCACTTTTAGGTAGGTAGGTAAGTTGTACCCCACCAGGACTTCACACAAGAGATCAACACCTTGTGACACAAAGTGCCACTATGTGTATGAGGATCACCCATGGAGAAGTCCTGGAAACCTCATTCAACCATTAGGCCATATTTAGGGCCCTCAGCAAAAGCCATGGTGGGGCTTCAAAACAAACAAAAAATTGCATCCCACATGGGGATGACTGATAAACACTTTTGTCAAAATTGCCATGAAAACAATATATCTATTTAACCTTTTTTGTTTTTAAATATATTACTATTCAGAGACAGTTGTTATTTAATAACATCATACAGCAGTATGAAACTATTGTACAGTGCAGAAAATTGCACAATGAACAGTCAACTAGAAAATGGAATTGAATCTCTGGAAATGTGGGTATACATAAGAATAGGTCATATTTCATGGAAACAAAAACAATCAATATACAGAGGTTCTTGAAAAGACTACAAATGAAAAAGAGAATTACTGAAATAAATAAAAAATGAGACAACTGAAATATTTTGGCCACATTAAAAGACAACACTCTTGTAAAAACCATACTGGAGGGAAAGGTCGAGAGCAAGAGAGCAAAAGATGACAATGATACATGTGAGAAGACAAAATCAAGAGATGGATAGACAGAGATCTGAGAGAGGTAACAACCAAGACAAGAGGCAAAGCATGTTCGAAATCCACTGCAGCCAACTGTCGTTGTGGAGATAGCACCTGATTGATGGTAATTGATGATGATATATCTGTGTGCTTCTGCTCAGTTGTTAAAATGTTGTGGCAAAGTTTGGGAACAATCCAATAATTTAACAATTATGTAAACCCATATAAATCTGTATTCCTTTTTCTTTCATTTACAGGATGATATCTCTGGTGATTATCGCAAACTGATGCTGGCCTTAGTCTCCTAGTAGGCTCAACTTCCAGTGTGGATATATGTCGCAGATGGATCATTTTCTTAATTTGAGTTTTGGAGGCAGGAAATGACAGATAACAGGCAGTAAACTGTTGGCATAAACGTCACATTTAATACAACTTCCATTTTTTAGGTATCCATTTTGAATTAGATATATGTATATACATGAGACAGAAGGTTGTGGATAGATGTGACTACCAACACCACACAGCATGGACTATAAGAAAAAGGTATACACATTTAAAGAAATAAGATGCATAAATTATATCTTCTGTTAGAACATAAAGCATTCAGACATTGAAAATCTCTGGCTTGGACATTGCTCTTCTGTGACTGTTATGTTCCAGTTGAACATTTTCATTACCAAACTTCTGCACTTTAAATTTTCATTGTCACAGTTTGGGCACTCTAAGAGTGAGACAGTCTTAGAGTCTAAATGAGTTAAAATAAAACAGTTATTTGACATAAAGAGTACAAGTAACAACTAGGATGTAGTGGATTAATATAAGAAAAGGTTCATGTTGAAAGCAGTAAAGCAGTGTAGCCTGTGCAGAGAAATCAATAGACCTATTGTGAGTAGCTTAGAATTCAAAGAGTTAAGATGATAACAGTTCGTCTCTGAATAAACAAAATTCCACTCTGAATAAACAGGCGAACAAACAAATTTTATTTTCAAAGGGTTAAGATTTGAGCTTGGAAGCCCAAGTTCTGCCCTTTTGACCTCAATCCTTTCATACATCATTTTATTTTTAAACTTCTCTTAACAGGTAATAATAAATATCTGCAACAACCAAATATTAGTTACAAATGTTGGTGTCTACTCAAATTATACCTACATTTTTAAACAACGGATCAAGGTTATTGTAATAAATATAGGGAAAATGATCTGCTTAGGGAACAAGAGGAGCCACCGTGGTGTAGCAGCTAGATGTTCACCTGCAAAATGGAAGGTCTAGGGTTCGGGCCTAACGGAGCCAGACCTTTTCTTCCTAAAATCACCTTGGCTTCCAGGTCGACTCAGTCTTGAGTGGGTACCAGGCACAAGTCCTGGGAAGTAAAGGCGGCTGGCATGATGCTAATCACATCACCCACCCAGTGCTGATTGGCCTATAAAATATAGGTCTAGCCCTCTGCCCAATACACCTGAAGGTGTGGGAAAGGATCTTCTACGCCAGGGAACAAGTGTAATTCATTGCAGGAAAAACTAGAAACTCTTCCAAAACCATTTGTCATATCTAACGTTCACCTAAATCTATAATTATAGAATGCCTTTCCTCTTTGAGGCAGTTTCTCACTGTCATACTATTGCATGCTGCAGTGTTGAAGGAAGTGTTTGCAGGACCATCATTTAACAGTGGACAACAGTGGAGTTGGGTTTGGCTGGCTGAGTTTCTGACCTTGATTCCAGCAGTCAGACTGTGATTGGCTATTTGGCTGAATCTTTCATCTCTAGAGAAGTGTTTTATATTCGTTCATTTGACCTTCAAAATCTAATTACTGAATTTAAAAAAAAAAAAGACAAAGAAAAAGTAGATTTGAGTTGAGTCAAAACTTGACATCACAGCACTCGGGGCATTCCCATGCATGCTCTGTCCTCATCTTCAGCAGCCAGTGCAGAGTTCCAATACTAATGGTACCGGTCACAATCTGGTTATATGTCCATCTTGCCTTTCCTCTGAGTGTAGTGAGCCGGCCAGACCCTCTGGTTACACCCAGGTGCCTTATTCTCTCCAGGACATGATAATCTTCTTTCTCTACTGATTCCGTTGCTTGTTCCCAAAGGGCCTTGACCACATCTGCCTTGTCATGTATCAAAAAAATGTAGACTGGCAACACTACAAATTGCAATCATATAATAAACAGTGAAGAAATTCAGAGGATGAAAAATCTTAAATATGTAAGTTCCCAATTACCAGCAATAGAGACTTTTGAAAAACAAACAAACAATCAGAATGTGACTAGCAATAACAATGTAGAGATTAAACATGATGTATCTTTCAAAAGTCATTCTTGTGGTAACATGTGGTTGTGAATCATAGACAATTTCACTAACAGTAAAGAAGGTAATATAATGAAAAGGTATGAGGTTAAAGAATCAAGAGTCTTTTGATGTGGTTGTTTTTGGCATGGGCATTCAGCAAATGACTTCCTGCCTGTTGTTGAAAGTTTTCTTAGTTCCTGTTGCTCACAGTTCCCAGTTATCAGCTGCCATATAGATTGGCTTGTTCTGCACCACTTGATAGTACATTTATACATGACAAGCTAGATGTTGTGAGGGTCCTTGGGAGTGAGTAAACTGTGGAGGCAGAAATAGATCATCACCATCTGAAAAAGATGGTGCAGAGAAGAGTGACAAGGGGGTTTTGCCAAACGCTCAACACTCAGAGGAGGGGCGAGACAGACCTACAATCATTCTGTTACTAGTACCATCAGAATTGCAACTCTGTGCTTGCTGGTGAAAATGGGGACTAAGCATTTATGGGAATGTCCGGTGTGCTTTGATACCAGTTCTTAATTGATAACTTACAGTTTTATCTGCTAATTTCATTTCATTTGTGTACTGTCACATTGGAAAATGGCTCACATATATCTGTGCATCCACTGCTGTTTCTTGGGGGGAATATATTTCAGGGAAGCTCCAGTCTGTCAGACAGTTGGATGCTTTGCAAATCTCTCTTCTCATTAGCATTTACCGGCTGTAAATTCTAGTGGAAAGTTCTGGTTGTTTGGTGACTTCTGAACTCTGGTTTTGTTCCAGAATTTGAGTTTTGCATGCATATCTGTTTTACCGATCTGGTATATTTGTATGCAAACTGTTGGTTCCTCACATCTCAGACAGATGCACTTCAACTTCAAAGAAAACACTGCTAATTAGTTGTCTTTTATAAAATGCTTATTAGGTCGCAGATAGTTTATTCTTTTTTTAATAAAATATGAGACTGGAGTCCCCATAGGGACCCTTAGAAATAACAGGAAATGCAATTATTGTCGACAAAATGACCATGCCATAGCAGTCTTGTATTTGTGTTGGTGAAGGCCTCATCAGAGGTCAACTTAAGAAATGATCAGTAAACTACAGCTTTATCCTTCACAGAATGTGTAGAACAAAATCAGCATTTTATGTTGTGTAGTAATTATCTTAACCATAATTATGTAAGTGAATTAAATATTCACTATGTTGCCTAATTTATACTGATTAGCTTTAGATTCTGGTTGTATTACATTTTTGACATATATTCTTCTATTAACTAATTAATATTCTCCACTTGTAAAAAAACAGGTTTATATGTTTATTGAGAAAACTTTGAATTTATTTGCATGTTATAATCTTCCATTGACAAAGTTTCATTTTTATTGTTGCCATGCTGTGAAATAGAATTTCTTAAAATCTTTGTACTTCTTTTAAAATAGATATTAGCAAATTTACTACTACCAGTAATTTTTTTTTTTTTCTTCAAATAAGAATATCTTGTAAAATTGTCTAAGGGGAAAACTCTTGTTTTTTAATTGCTGAAGTTTTACTGTATTGTTTCTTGATAAGTCTTGATATTTGTTTAAATTTTTAAATACCAGAATTGTGTCAATACTTTATGCCCATTTTCAGTGCTATTTAAATATTTTATTGAATCTGTCTTTTTGTTGAAAAAATTTTAAAAAATATCCACATTTGGCTCATGTTAAGATAAATTAGTTTTGGTTCTAGTAACGTTTCCCGTCCCAAGCACACCGTGATTGGCCGTTCATTCATGTTTTATGACATTTAACATGGGCTAGTCTAAGTTATAGGGGTATCACGTTGTATTGTGTTTTTTTGAGCCGTGTATATTTCGCGTCATGTAGGAGTTGGTGTGAGCGGCCGGCGAGATTGCGTATATTATAGCTTAGCCGGACTTCAAGTAGGACATGAATTTACTTCAACTGTGAGGGTTGAGGAGCAACAAGGAAAGCAGCATTGCTTTTCTGCAGCAAAATGGCTTTTAGGGCCTGACGCAAAATGTTGACAATTCTGAAACCACGGGACCTAAGCTGCACTCTCTCGTGGCCTGAGGCTGTGGTGTTGAGAATAGAGCCAATTCTAGATGTTTTGGGGCGTTTTGAAGGAAATTTAATTTTAGTGGTAGAAGTAAATTTGTCGTACTGGAAGCCTATAATTACCAATATTACAATCAGATAACTGAATCTAATGTATAAAATTGTTCTGATTGTCAGTTTGTGAACTCATCAGTATATATTTAGAATGATTAACCTTTTTTTTAAGGCCTCTTCAAAAGTTCCCCCAACTGGCAAGGTATCCTGCCAACTGCACATAGAGATCACACAACAACAAAAACTGCAAAACTGCATCCTCCTCCCCAACAAAACTGCATCCTCCTCCCCAACAAACAAACAAACAAAAAATCCACAAAAGCTGCATCCTCCTGAATGCACAGCAAAAAAACTGCACAGCACACAAAAACAGAAAGCACTAAAACACTGAAAACTGCACAGCAAATGAAATGCCAAATTAAAAAACTATATGCTCAATCTACCACTCCCTTAAATATTGGACTGTATTGTGACTTGGGGATTTCCCCCATTTGTGGTCAGCTGTTAGGAAAGAATTGAAAAACCACCAATAATGGTGTGCCTGGGACGAGAAACATTGGAGGATTTAGTTTTTATTCTGTTGTGTCTATGCTTTATTTAGAATCTCTATTTTCACATTCTTACAACTCTGGACAGCAAGGTACACCAGAGTAGTACTTGGCATAGCCATTACATGTGTCCCAGTTATATTTTCTTTGGAGGTTGGATGGGGTCTCTGGGATTTGCCCCAGGTTGCAATTTGTAAAGTCACGGGGTGGTCAGTCCCTCTTGCAGGAGCCCTAACAAATTTTTTTTAAATATATATAAATTTAAAGCAATGTTTCCCCATTGTAAATTTGAACAAAAGAAGTCACAAACAAACGATAATTATGTTTGATCGGTGTTGAAATTGTACTTCAGTTATAAAGG